GCTCAATGGGCTGACTGTGTGTATGCATGCAGGAGGCCTGGGGTCAATTCTCTGCCTGACACAGACTCCTAAACACCACCAGGAGCAATCTTCAAGCACAGAGTCAGAGCAGTCCATGAGTACTGCAAATAAACCAAAACCAAAGCAAACAAAAGAAACAAAGGCAACAGGGGAAAATGAAATAAATACGCAGATGACTGTTTTCTCAAATAAGACAAGATAAAAGCTGAGCTAAATAGATTTACTCTAGAACTTTTCAGAATAATGAATTTCATAATCAAAATTTATCAGATGGTTACTCGAGCTAGCTACCATGCTGGTACAACATCATCTTATTTAGCCTTTTATACACATCATCTTATTTAGCCTTCAAAATCCTACTAATGGCTGTTATTAATATTTCCAGTTTACAGATGAGGAAAAAAGAGGCTGAGAAAAGTTAACTAACTTGCTAGAAATCAGACAACTTAAGTGATGATCAGCCTCGCTCTAAAACTTTGCTCTTAAACTGTAAATAACTAAAACTACCGGGTAAATTCAATGGACTGAGTGATTAATTTCTAATCTACGCAACATAGCCAATATTAAAGTACTGGAGGACTTAAAAAACCACTTGAGGGGCCTGAGAGATAGTTCAGCGGGTAGGGCGTTTATCTTGCATGTGGTTGACACAGGTTTGATACCAGGCATCCCATATGGTCCTCCAAGCACCACCAGGAGTGATTCCTGAGTGCAGAGCCAGGAGAAACACCTGAGCATTGCTGGGTGTGACCCAAAAAACAAAAAAATCACTTGAAAAATTAGGAGAGCTGGTGTAATACTGATCTGCAAGTTAGAGGCTGGAGCGATACCACAGCGGGTTGGGCGTTTGCCTTGCACGCAGCCAACATGGCCGACACAGGTTCGATTCCCAGCATTCCATATGGTCCCCTGAGCACCGCCAGGAGCAATTCCTGAGTGCATGAGCCAGGAGTAACCCCTGAGCATCGCCGGGTGTGACCCAAAAAGCAAAAAAAAAAAAAAAAAAAAAAAAAAAACCTGATCTGCAAGTTTATATGGCAACAATTTAGCTTTAGTGTTTTTTAGAAGAAGTGTGTACTGTCCAGATTATACAGAATTCAAAGTAAAAAGAAATTTAATTTTTACCATCTATTTCACTCTTTTTTTTTTTTATTTGAGGGGAGGTCCTGGGGGTCACAACTGGCAATGCTCAGGGATTACTCGCGGCTCTGCACTCAAGAATTACTCCTGTCAGCTGCATGCAAGGCAGACTCCATACACGTTGTACTATCATTCCAGCCTCCTATTTCATTCATTTCTTATTACCAACAGGGTCCTATAAATATCTGGTCTTCAACCCAATCTTCCACTCATCCCCTAAATATACAAGAAAAAAAATTTTTTTTTTTTCGCTTTTTGGGTCACACCTGGCGATGCACAGGGGTTCCTCCTGGCTCTGCACTCAGGAATTACTCCTGGCAGTGCTCAGGGGACCATATGGGATGCTGGGAACCAAACCCAGGTCGGCTGCGTGCAAGGCTGTGCTACACAAGGAAAAATCTTTAAAATCAAAAATGAATTTTCATGATCTCCAAAACAAAGATTGAGTGATTTCTTGTGTTGAACACACTTTGAGAATGCTGGACTGTACTTCTAATTACTGTAACCATAACAAGATTTGATTCAATCTGACCAAAGCATGAATGAAGGAAATGGAAACTACTTACAAATATTAGTCCTGATATCAAAGAAGATGTCCCTGTAAGTGCCACATAGAACTTGGGTGTCAATGAATTTAAAAATACTGTCACTGCCAAAAGAAAAAAGATCAAAGTTTTAAAAATGCAAACTTAAAGTACTTACATTACAAATAGATGTCTTTATGAACAAAAGTATGAAATTCATTAGAGTTGTCATTTTTAAAAAGCTATTTTAAATTCTTATTTATCATACCTTAAAAATTTAGCTAATCAATGGCCGAATAAATAGAAATACTCCTACATAAAAAAAAAATTCACACATACCGATTTGTTAAATAAGAAAAGGAAGGTAGATTTAGCTTGTTTTGAGAATTATAAACTTACAAACCATACTTGGACAAGAATTTTTGTAATCTATACGGAAATTCTAAACAAACATTCAGTTACAAAGGAAGTTTAAAACAATTCCCTAATTATTTTAGTAAGCAACAAATCATTGTTCTGAAGGGCAGGAAAGAGTTTATCTGAGGGGCTAGAGATAGCACAGTGCGTAGGGCACTTGCATTGCACAAGGCCACAAAGGTTTGATCCCTAGCACCCCATACAGTCCCCTGAGTACCACCATGATAATTCCTGAACACAGAGCCAGGTGTAACCCCTGAGCACAGGTAGTGTGGCACTCCATTCCACCAAAAGAGCTTATTTGATAAAAATCAGCTAGAGGAGCAAAAGAGGCCAAAATGAAATGACAAAGGAGTGGGGAAGTTAGTAAAGTAAGCAGGGAACTTGCTCTGAAAGTGACCCACCCCAGACATGACATTTTCCCCCCAACAATCTACTAGGAGTAATCCCTGAACAGAGTCAACAGTAAGCCCTAATCACAAAAAGTCCTAATCACCTGGTGTGGCCCAAAATCAAAGAGAAAGAAATGGCAAAAATCTAAGCTCTCAGATCAGAACAATAGTACAGTGGGTAGGGTACTTGCCTTACATTCAGCCAACCTTGGTTCAGTCCCTGGTACCCCGTATCACACCCTACCGCCAGTCCACCAGACGTGACCCCTGAGTTGATAGCTAGGAGAAAGCCCTGAGCACTGCTGGGTGTGGGTCCCCTCCCCACAAAAATCTTTGAGATCCCTGCACCTGACTTACTGAAATCCTGGGCCAGATTATTCACTTCAAATAACTGTCTCTAAATACTTTGCATTTTTTGAAAGAAATAAAGTCTACAAAAGTAAATAAACTACTCTCATCTAATAGCAGATCTAGGCAGAGGAAGTGGCTGGGTGGCAAAGTGAATGCCAACTTGCATGCATGAAACCTGATTCAATTACTAGCACTGCAAAATAAATGATGCATCTTTACCATGTAGAAAAATTAACGGTAAACTCAACATTTCACTGAGTAAACACTGGTAAGCTCTTTCTTAACCCTAGAGACAGCAAGGGAACTGAGAAATAGGAACGGAGTGTACCCTACCCCTGCACCACAGGGTGTGGTCCAAATACCATGTGTAGATCAAAACAAACACAGGGCCTGCAGAGATACAGCTGGTAGAGATCTTGCTTTGCAAACAGCCCACCTGGGATCTATCACTGGCATCCCATATGGTATCCTGAGCACCATCAGAAGAAAGTCTGAGAGCAGAACCAATAATAACCTCTAAGCATCATGGAGTGTGGCCCAGAAAGGAGATGGGATGGGGGTGGGGAGACCCACAAACAAACAAAAAAAACCACCAAAACAACTCTTTCAAGGAGTCTGGAAAGGGCAATACAGCTCATTTTGCTGTATTCTATCTTAATTGCCAAGGTAGTAGTTATGTTCTAAGAAGCCCAAAACATTCCAGAACACCATGCAGACTCTCATATTATTACATTTAAAAACAGCAACAACAACAACAACAAAAAACACAAAGTGAAATTTAAAAACAACAAAAAGCCTCTCCAATATATAAAACAAACAAAAAAAAGTTAAGAGAAGGGCCATTTGCCTCTTCTCTCTCTGGAGAGGGAGAAACCACGATATTCATTCCCGGTTGATCTCGCTCGAGGGCGCGGCTGGCAGCATCCAACTGAGGCACTGTGACGGCAGGAAGCAGCCGCTGACTGCCACCCGAAGGTGGAGGTTTGCAGGACCCACGGAGACCACCACTGCCTGGCATGTCCCTTCGCCCAGACTTCGCAGCTCTACCAATGCTGGACTAAATTAGAACAAAAGAACCCACGGCTGGTCTGTCCCTCTTTCTCTTCGGCCCCTCAAGATAACGGCCTGAGGACACACCACAGGCTCCTGAGCACTTTCTGGACGGGATTCAGTCCTCCTAGTAGGGTGGGACTGGCTCCGACCAGGCGCTCTCTGCGGGGGCCGCGGGGGGTTCCCCGGAAGAAACCTGCGCCCGGTGGTCGGGGGTGGCGGTTCCCGTTGAACCGCAGGAAGAACCGGAGTCTCCGGGGCTCCGCCACGGCGGGGGCGTGTTTGGGTTCGGCGTCGGCGAGCCGTCCAGCGCGCCCACACGCGGCGGCCCCCCAGCGTCGGGGTACCCGAGCTGGGACAGCCCGCTGCAGGGTGCCCGCCCCAGGTGCCCCCACGCCCTCCGGGGCGACTCGGACCGTCGGGCCCGGGGCCCGCCCGCCCGCCCGCCCCGCGCCGGGCCCCGGGAAGTCTGGGGCGCTCACCCGCTGCCAAATTCTCCCACAGCCTCAGCGGCACCCGCAGCGCGTACAGCAGCCCCAGCCCCGCCACGAGCCACAGCGAGAGCCCGGCGCCGGCCAGCCCGGCCCGCAGCCGCCCCGTCCAGCCGCGCGGGGGTCTCGCGCCCGGGACAGGCGCCTCAGCGGCCGAGCCAGCCGCCTCCCGCCCGCCCGCGCCGTCCGCCATGTTCCCGGGCGCGCGCGGGGCGGGTGGCGGGCAGGAAGCCCGCGGTCGGGAATCCTGGGATCGCGGCGGACCGACGGGGAGGAGGCGCCCCGGACTAGGGGCACCGCGGAGAGCGGCACTGGGCTGAGGAGCGGCCGGGGAGGGACTGTTTGGGCTTCCGTGCGAGGGAGCGTCGCTTTCCGCCCTCCCGGGGCCGAGCGGCTTCCGCCCCTAGGCCCCGACTGCCACGGAGGTCACGCGTGCGGGGACAGTGACCGAGTACGGACTGGTGGGGTGGAGAGCGGGCGCCGGGACCACCCCCGGCCGCCTCCCCGCGTCAGGCCGGGTAACTCGGGGAGCAATTAGACCTGAGAGCGGCCCGGCACAGCCGACTTCCGGGGCGCGGGCCGCAGCCGCCCCGTCGGCGTTTCCGGCCTCCGACGGCCCCCCCCCTCCCCCGCGCCGCTCCCCGCGCGGTTTCCTTCCCGGCCTGCTTCGCGCCGGGGCGGGCGGGCCAGAGCAGCCAAGATGGCCGACTTCGAGGATCGGGTGTCGGATGAGGAGAAGGTAAGGGGCGCGCCTCTCTCCCTCACCTCCCCCCGCCTTCGGGAAACGGGACCCGGCCCCGCAGCCGTGGAGCCCCCGCGGCGGGGGCGGCTCGGACCCGCGGGGACGCCTTCCCGGGGGGAGGGACTGCGCTCTGCCTCCCCGGAGCTCCCGTTCCCGTTCCGCGACCCTGCGCTTCCTCCGGCGCTGGAGGCGCAGCCCCGTGGCCTTTCTGCGGGAGGAGAGACGTCCCGGTGTTGACGGCGACACCGAGCTCAGCTCCCGCCGCCCCCGCGGTGAGAGGGCTGAGGTGGGGGGCGTCTCCAGCCGCGGGTCCCATTCCGCCCTCCACGGCCGGGGCGCCCCTCCCAGCCCCCCCATAGTTTTCAGGTCTGCTTGCTGCTGGGTTCGGGCGAGTCACTTCCTGGTCAGGGTGGCCTCCTCACTTCCCCTTTGCTCCTCCTTCCTCAGGAAGTGATTTCGCTGTCACCACTCCTGGGTGGGAACGGCCCCCATGCTCTCGGTTCCCCCACTCTGCTCGGGCCGTTAGCCCCCCCCGGAGAAAGTGGGGTCCCCCTCTTTTCTGTGTGTGTGTCCGTTAGCCGCCCCCCCCCGAGAAGGTGGGGTCCCCCCTCTTTTCTCTGTGTGGTGGGGAGGGGTGTTCATTCATCTTCGCAGAGCTCCTTCTTGGGAAACGGTTCTCTGGTTCCTGCTCACGCATCCTGAGTACCTGCCGGACTTTTCTTTCCAGACCCCTTAGGGTGCGGTGGGCACCTCTAACGGGAACGAAGCCCCGTTTGCCGTGTGATGCCCCACAGGGACGTCTCGTTCTGGCGGCATGTGCCCAGGCAGCGTTGGGGTACTTCTTTCCAAGGGGCTTCAGCACCGAGTGTGTTCTGTGGGAGTTGGATGGACAGTTCTGTTTGGTTTTTGTTAGGTTTTTTTTTTTTACACCCACAGCAATAGCTTTTTTTTTTTTAATTTGTGAGACTTTCTAGCGTCTGTATGAATTAGGAACTTGAAATTAGTGATTTCACTAGATCACCCTAGTGATCATTATCGTTTGTTTCCCACGGTGACTGTGACAGAGCGTGCCCTCTGTAAATGTCTCTAAGCTCTACCTTCTCCAAATAAGAGATTGAGCGGTAGGGGATAGGACAGCGGGTAGGTACTCAACTTGCACGCCACCCACCAGGGTTTGACCCTGGCATGGCATGTGGTTTCCCCAGCCTGCCAGGAGCGAGCCCTGACCACTGCCGAGTGTAGCCCCAAAAGCAATAAAAAATAATTGGGATGGCACTTACTGAGGGACACAAGAATTTAATGGGTATTACTTGTAGGTGGGGGAGCATGTCATTTGAAATGCCGAAGCGTATACTGAACGGGCCAGCCATCTAAGCTCATTTTGGCATCTGTTTTCTTACACGGAGATACATAAAAAGTGTGTAAGATTGGGGGAGAATGTGAGGCATGAGGCATCTTATTGTGAATTCTTATTCTTGTGTATAAATATCTATTTCAAGGTCCATCATGTTCAAGTAATTCTACAGGGTTTTGTTTTTGGTGATTGGACAAATGATAAACATTCCTGAGCGCCTGGGATATAGCTCAGTAAACTTCATGAGAATGGTTAGTATTTACAAGTTAGAGTTCTTTTACTTGTTTTTGGGGGCACAGCCTATCAGTGCTGTGTATCACGTGTGGTACCCCAATCAAAATGGGTACTTGCTCCTTGTACTCTTAAATCTCTTGCCCCTTAGAGCATCTTTTTAATGAAACTTGGCGAAACAATACATATCAAAGTAATATTAAGATGCCTTTTGATATTGACAATTTAATGACAGTAGTCTTGAAAATCCACAGATCTGCATTAATGTTATATCCCTCACATGATTGTTTTTCTTAGTGTTAGTAATGACAAGCATGAAAGTCATAATTAGCAGAGTAAATCTGTCCCCCAAATGTTGATGGTGGTTATATTCAGCACACAGTTCTTGTTATCCAGTGTTTTCATTAATGTAGATAACTAGGAATAGCCAGCTGATACAGGAAAAACCTCATAGCCATATGATTTGGCATTTTGTACTTCTAGGCCCAGAGAGAATGCAGGAGTTGAAGATCACATGTTGTCACTTCTTCCCCCACAAAAAAACAAAAAAAAATTTTTTTTTCTGAACTTGTGTTAGCTTCTTAGTACCAGGCAGAAATGAAACCCATCTGTGTGTCTCTGTTGTGATTTGTTAAGGCTTTATTTTAACCTAAGAGTTGAGAAATTTTTTTTTCCCATTAGTGCTTACTTATATAAATCTTAGCATTCATAAATGATAAAAGACCCTCCCACAGTTCAAAGCACTTTGCTCCAGTCTGTACTGTTTCTTGGAGAAACAGTATTTTTTTCCTCTGAACTAAGTGTTGATGGGGGGGAGGGGTGCACATGAGCTACACCTAGCTACACCTAACTGTGCTCAGGAATTAACTCTTGGCATTATTCAGGGGACCATATGTGGTGCGGCATCAAACTTGAGTCAGTTGTTTGCAAAGCAAATGCCATGCTCACATTCTCTCGCTCTTGTGCTCTCTCTTTCTCTCTCCTCCCTCCTCTCTTTCCTCTCCCTCTCCCCCCTCTCCCTCCTTGATGCCAGAATCCTTTTAAAACATTTTCTGAAAGCAGTGGGCCCAGAATTTGGAGGTGATGGTCTCTGGTTTTCTTGTAACTATTTCTATAAAAGCTAGACTAGCCATTCTCATATAACTTGTGGAGTTTTTATCACTTTTTAAAGAGGAAGTTGGTTGGGCTCCTACACTGTTACCTGAAATGGTCATGATGAGCTGCCTGAATAAAACAGGAAGTTGCAAGTGTAATAAGTTTCAGAAAGAAATGCTAAGTCTTAGCCTCAAGTTCAATTTCTGAGAAAGAGCTCTTATTTTCTAGTTATATAGAGACTTCAGTTACTTGGTTCCAAGTTCAGTACAACCAAAATGACAAGATACCATACCTAGAAAACTTGAAATAGGAGATGAACTACTTGTTTTGAGTTCTTTGAAGTATTTCCTTTATTTCATGATTCATCATTTTTAAAGCGCAGGGGAAAATGTAAGGCTAAAAAAAGAAGTTTACCTGCCGTATTTTTCCTTTTGCCCTAACTAGTAGAGATTTTATGTACAACTTCAAATATACCATATTTGACAAATGGTTCTGTATACTTTAAGCCCAATGATAAGCATCTTTAAGACACTGGTTGGAGGGAGCAGGGCCACACCCAGCTTCTCAGACCTTACTACTTACTCTGTGCTCAGGGACCACTTTGGTAGTACTCAAGGAACCATATGCAGTATCTGGGATAGAACCCAAGTTGGTTGCATATACAGCAAGCACCTTACCTTATCGCCTCTTTAGTCCAAGACACTTTTTGAGAAACAGATTTGCATGATTTAGGAAAGATGTGGCAATTATTTTCAATAGACACAGAAATTTGTGGCTCTTAAAGTTTACGAAAAATACTTTTAAATTCATTACTTTGTAAGTTACCTTCTGAATTTACTGGATGAACACTTACCATGAGAGGGTGAAGCAACCCCCCAAAGCTTATTTGCCATGTGTATTTTCTAACAAGGCAGTGTGAAGATTAATGTGAATATTGTCATTCTTTTATTTTCGTGTATGATTGTTCTGTTTTGTAATTTCTTAAAAAAAAAAAAAAAACCTGAACTGGAACGTAAAGTAGCAGATAAAAATGTAGATGTGCAATGTTTAGTAAAGTGTGTAGTAAATTCAGGCACTCTCCATTCTGTAGTCACCCAAATTGTTTTCTTTCCTCTAATGAAGCTATTTAAAAAGGGAAGAGTGGAAGCATTCAGAAGGCTAGTGCACATGCATTCTGAAGGCTCAGGTTCAATCATTGGCACCTTATGGCTCACTGGGCATTACAGAAACAGAATCCTCTTCATACCCCCAGCAACAAGCTAGAAGAATTCCTCTGAGCACCTCTAGGTATGACTCAAAAAAGGAATAGAATGTTGGTTTATTTTTACTTGTGATGGAACATATGGCTATTTATTAAGACTCTGTAAGCTAATTTGTTGGAAAATTCAGACTGTGGGTTTATCTAATTAAGAAACCATCCTTATTTTAGGACACCATTTTTTCCATGTGACCATGAATGAAAAAAGAATAAAATGCATCCACTTAATGAATTATAAATGAACTATTGTGATGAAAAGGAAAAGAACAAAATTGTGTGTCAAGAGATTTAATCTTTCTCTGCTATGCTTTTAGCCAGTATGGTTTTTAGGAAAAAAATCATTTAACCTCTGTAGTTTCAGTTTTCTTTTAAAGCAGAGAGGGAAATAAGTGGACTTAGATTAAACTTACCTAATAGAGGTTTTTGTATGTTTGTCTCTTTGGAGTCCTAGGCTTGAACCAGGGCCTTACACATGAAAGGGCTGAGTTCTGCTACTCAGCCATATTCCCAACCCAAAAAAGTTTAATGAACTGCTTCAAATACTAGTTTTGAAAATCATTATTTAAAAAATGAAAACTTGGGCAGAAGGGGAGCCCATAGAAGATAGTACAACATGTAAGGCTCTTGCCCTGCATGCAGCTGACCTAGGTTCAATCCCATGGCATCACACCTGGTCCCCTGACCATAGCCACAAGTGATCCCTGAACACAGTAGTAACCCCTGAGTACAGCCGGTGTGGCCCAAACACCCCAGTCCCCCCCAAAATAAAAACATTATAATGTTTCAGCAGTTTCTATCTTTATCTGCTTTTGCACATTTAATAACAAAACTGAATTCCTTAAGAACTGAAAACATATCTTTTAAACTAATGCTGGGTGGGGTACAGTGGGTTATACACTTGCCTTGCACGGACCCCCCCCCCCCCATATGATCCCGATTCCATCAAGAATGATCCCTGAATACAGAGCCAAGAGTAAACACCACCAGCCAAGTGGGCCCCTCTCCCCCAAAAAAAGCAAAACACTAGTGCCTACCATAGTACCAGGTACATAGTGTTGG